TTCAATAATATGTTTGAGAATAGTTAATAATTGATTAAATATTATTGGCATACGCTCCAAATCTCGTCCATCAACTGCTTCTTTAAAATGTACCATAGCATCATTGAAAGCTTCTAAATCGGTTAATATATCATCGTCTGTCATCTTGAAAGAAAAAAAACACGGAATGTAATTTTGTTTAAATATTTAAATGTTTTAGTTTTAAAAAAAATAACAAAAAAGATAACACATGTCAGTTTATATCTTTCGGAATAAAACAAAAAAAAAATGGAAACTAATAAAATGTACATGCTAAATTGAATATTATTTCACCTAGAATGAAAGAAATTTTTTGTTAAATAATCACAGTTAGTTTATCTAATTTGATAATAAATACTAAAAAACAATGTACTCGTTTATAAGAGTAAATTTTGTATTGTTTATTCACTGTGTATAATAACTACCATTAAATGTTCATCATTAATTTTTGTTGTTGTTGAACGTAAATCTTTCGAAAAATTTATTGATGGACAAATTATTTGTAAAATTTTTTTACTAAATTGACACGGAGGAAATATATGTACGGCAGCAGTTTCTTGTTTAGTTGAATGATTATAATCATTTTGATATGTTGGATAAAATGGAATGGATATAACACCAGCTGCTTCTTTTCTGAACAAAAAAATAATTCAATTATCAATAATATCGATAATTATTTCCGATGGATAATGTATTTTTAATAGTTAGATATACACGGAAACGAATTCGAAATTAACATAAATTTACTTACTCAGCTAAATAAGAAATCAAACGAGAAAGTAATATTTCTTCTTCATTATCATCGTTCGTTGTCTCTTCTTTTATTTTAATATGTTCATCATTTTCATTTATTCGAGATGGTGAAGTTTGTTCATTTTTTACTTGATCTTTAGTTGGATTAGGTGGTTTATTTAAATTATGTATTTTTGGTGTTGCAATAAGTATAGAAAATTTTGTTTGATTTGCAATTATTAATTGTTTTCGACTACTATTTGTATTCACATTCGAATTATTTCCATTGACACTCAATGCATTTGTAACATTAGTACGAAGTTGTTTTTCTAAATCATCAAGTTTATTTTGTTCGAGACGAAGCCGTTGGGTAATTTTTAATTCAGTTTTAGCTGCAACAAGATCACCTGGTTGACCTAAATAAATAAAAATGATTAGATTCATTACAAACAATAACAAAAAAATACCGAGTAAAAGACTAGTTAATGTTGGACTTCCAGCAAGAAAATGCATACGTGCATCATAAGCATGAGATTTAAGTATAAATTGAACAGGATAAACAGTTGACAAAGCTGTATTACTTTGTGTTGCTGATGCATTCAATTGTTCACAAAGTATCATTAATTCATTTAAATTATTTATGTTTGCTGTATCAGTTGGTGATAAATAAGAACCTAATGCGCCATGAAAAGTTCGTCCAGCTAGTGGAGATGAATCTACTAAAGATGGTGTTTCGCTACGATCTGTTGATCGTCGTTCTTTTATAGGATTTAAGACTGGTGGTGTTGGTGAACGTGAATGTATTTCAGGTTTAATATCTTCATTAACATCATCTTCATTTGGTTGAGTATTATCATTATTATCATCTTTAGACGGAGAATGTGCATGATCTGATACTGCTGATTCAGGCGAACTTTGACGTGAATGTGACTTCGATGAATTTTGTCGTGAACGATTATTAAAACGACTTTCCAATGTTAAACGATCATAATAGTCAATATAAAAACCTATACAAAAAAATCATCATTCATAGAATTCAATTTTATTTTCATACCATCTCGTGGTAATACTGATAAATCAGATTTGTTATAAACTACTTGTCCATTTGGTAATCGTATTGCACCATGTAATTTTGTTCGTGCTTTAATTGCATCTTCAACATCAACAAATGAAATATTACATGTTGGTCTACCAGGTGAATAATTAAATTTTTCAATTTGTCCATAACGTGAAAATAAATATTCAAGATCACGTCGTCCTATACCTTTTGGTATATTTCCAATCCATAGATGTTTAGTTGGTCCAGTTTTGCCTGAAAAAATATATATAAGACATATCCAATAAACATCTTCTTCTTGATTATAATCCATTAAATATGTAAAGAGAAAGAAAAAATAGTGTTTTTTTTTGTAAACTCTCGAATAATTATAAATATTAATATAGATAACCAATGATATTTGTGATATTGTTGAATAGAAAGAAGAGAATATTTCTATCACCTATGAATGCATAGTAAGAAATATCAACCAAACTTTAGATATCTTTCACCAATTAATCAATCCATCATCATTAGGCTTTTATTATAAGAATGGATAAATAGAAGAGCGCAAGAATGAAAGAGAAAGAGTTGACGAAAAGGACGAAGCATAGAGGGATAGAATTATATCAATAGGGCCAATGTGTATTCATACATATATATAATGAAATGAATAAGCCATTTTATATAGTACCATAATCAAATAAGATAATAAAAATGTAATAACCAACGTACCACCTCTACCCAACTTGACATATACATATATTATTTTTATGCATACATTTTGTTTTGTCAAGTGTATATGTGAATAATAATAATCTGTAAATGACATGATCATTTATAATTGTTTTGAGAGTGGTATATGTTATAGTTTGGTATCTTTTCTATATGAATTATTATGTATGTATATGAATCTCTCAAATGCAAATATAACATTGTTATGTAATACTCCAATTAAATTAATATATATTTAATACACTCAATGTAAATTTTTTCAAGTCAGAATCTCTAAAATGATAAGAGCAATGAACGTCAATACAGAAAAGATATAATCAAGTATATACATATATCCTTGATAAAACAAAATCGGAGTAGTAAGCAAGCGTGTGAAATTTTTTTTAAACAGCCATTAATAAACAAAGGATAAAGGGATTTAAAAGTAGGAAAAAAAAAGTATGATCATTTACACACCATAGCCAATCTTGCTTACGGTTTCTCCAATTAAGTGACCATCCATTGCTTGACGAGCACGATATGCCATTTCCATATTTTCAAATCTAATAACGGCTGAAACACGTTTTGATGTTGATGATGATTTTATAATATAAACTAAATAAAATAAATAGAATTATTTTTCTTTATACATATAATTTCACTTTACGTTCTTCTATGAATCCATAACGATTAAAAAGTTGTTTTAATGTTGATTCAGTTATATTTCGTTCAAGATTTTCAATAAATAATATACGTGATGGTTCTTGTTGAACAACTATATCTTTATCTGAATTAACTCGATGAGTTGGTGCTGATATTATTCGACGAATATTTGGACTTCGACTCCGTTGTTTATTATGATGACGACGAACGGGTGATGGTGATGAACGTTGTTGTTGTTGTTGTCGACTAGATTTTTTACTAGTATAATCATTTAAATCAGGTGGTACTGGTATATAAGGTGAATAATGTCGACGTGATGAACGAGGAGGAGGAGGAGGAGGAGTCGGTGGTGCAGATATTGAACGCTGACGTCGTGATGATGATTGACGATATGAATGACTTCGAGACGTAATTAATGGTGATGATGGACGTTGTGGTGATCGATGACGGGAACGTTGATTTGATGTAAAACGTTCATGAACACTTCCTGGACTAATTGGTCGAGAAGCTGGAACAGTTTTACGATAAAAAACTCTAGAGATTCAAATAATTATATTCAATAGAATTAGATATAAGTAAAAAATAACTTACGGATCTAGAAAAACTTGAGTCCCTTCCCAGGTAAGATCTGATTTAGCTTGTCGTGCTCTTCTTGCATCATCAGGATTAGTAAAATTAACAAATGCTACACGTTCATTACTTCTACGATAAATTTTAACGGAATGTGAACCATATTTCGAAAACTTTTTTTCACAAAGCTCCCGTACTCCTATTAGAAATAAATATTTAAAAATTTTTACTTTTAATCTATTATTTATTTACTCATATCTGATATTTTTGGATTTATACGTTTCACACAGATTGATGTGTAACTCTCGGATCGTTCTCGTAGATAAGCCTCATTATGATCATAAGGATCAATTGAGTTCGATGGTTTAGATCGTTTTGATGGTGGTATACCACCCACTGGTGAACGAGAATAACGTGCACGACGAGAATTAGTACCACCGTATGGTGGTGGAGATGGACTATTCATTGATCTATTGATTGTTTAAATTAAATTTATCTATAAAATTCATAGATAAAAATATGAGACATTGATTAACACTTGAGAATCCGGAAAAGGAAGCAAAATAGCTCAAAAGAATAATAATAATATCCTATGGTATTCTATGGATTGAAATAATGGCAAAGAGGATAGTATGAAAGTAATGCATTAATGCATTTACATTTTTCAAATAATTTATTCATTTTTTCTAAATTATTATAAAATTTTAGTTTTTAGAAACTTAAAATAAAATAAAATATTCTCTAAAAATAAGATATAATAGCGCGTAACAAAGAAACAATGCGACATTGTCTTGTCAAACTCAGCTTTTTGACATTAATATAGATTTTTTTTTCGAAAAAACGAAAAAATGCAACCCATACATTCATCAAAATCAGATATTCCTCTAGTATCATCTCCACACCCAACCCTTAGCTCACTCATCGGAAAAGTAAGTTTAATAGATAGACATTAGAGTAAATCATTCTTCAATGAATATTTTTAAAAGGAAAACAATCAACCTTTAACACCTTTGTCTACAAAACGAAAGCAAGTATTGATTAATGAAAAGAATACAAATATTCTTCAATTATGGGATCAAAAATTACGTTTATCAAATGATCGAATGGAGGTATAGTTATTTTCTTATACACTATCTATTGTAATTAGTTCTTATTAAGGCTTATGCTCTTAATGAAATGGCAAATATTGAACGAATACGTAATGTTGAACAACAAATAACTTCTTCAGTTGATGAAATTACTAATAATTTCAAACAACGTATTCAATCAATTCTTTCAGATAATCAATTATTATTAAGTAATAACAATAAAAATTTAAATTATCAAAATAATCTTTTTCTGTTTATATAGCACAAGTACCTCATACATTAGCACCTTCAACTCTATTTAAAGATGGACAACAAATGACTAGTGAAGCATTTTTTGATGAAATGAATGTATAGTAAAAATTTCTTAATTATCCATCGAATAACTTCGTTTTTATTTTAATAGAAACGTTATTTTACGGATGATAAATCATTTGAAAAATATGCTGAAACTATTGAGCTATTTCGATCAACATATTTAATTTTGAAAAAGAATAATGATCAATTACGAGAACAAATGAAAAATCTTAATATAAATCAAGAATTACTCGAAATGCAAGAACAATTAGAAAAAACATTATTAGAACGAGATAGTTATTTATCATTATATACAATGACAAAAATACGTGCTGAAAAAGCGGAAGAAAAAAATAAAAAAACGAATGAACAACAACAATCAATTGTTGAATTACTTGTTGAAAAATTTGGTTTTGTCGATCGTATACTTGATTCAAATACTCTTCTAGCACGTGATTTATTTAAACCAGATACAAATATTGAAATATTCACTAATTTTAATGTACAACTAAGTACAGGTGAACAAGGTTATATTGAAACAGCTAAAGGTTGTCCACAGGGAAAATTCAAAATATGTATACCAAGTAAATAAATTTATATACATAAATGTGTAAATTTTAATTTATTTATTTTTAGATGGTATTTCAAGTGAAACACGAGAACTCATAATGAGAAATGATGATGAACCAGTGCGTGTTATTGTTAAATTTCGAAAATATCTTTTTCAATCAGATATGAATTTAAATGAAACGAATTAAAATAAAGAATTTTTTTACTGTGTATTGTATAAATATTAGCATTCATATTTCTAAATAAAATCTATATAATAAAGAATTAACTTTAACTGGATTGAATTTACTTAAAACAAAAAAAAATTCAGACATTGACGTTATGTATCTTTGATAAATATTTAAACTGATTGTATTGTGTTGATTTCACACAAGTCTATTTCATTGTTTCGTTGAAGAAATATAGTTTATAAAATTTATGATAAAATCACGATTTGATTTTTTGCAAGCAATTCATCATTTTGATTATATAGGAACAATATGTCTTTGTATACCTCAGCAGTTGGTGCATCTTTTCTCTAAATATGCAAATAAATTATGCGAATGATACATCTTCAATCATCATCATCAACACAGCAGTAGTCCACTAGTATATTTCTTCTCTTTCTTTAAGTCACTATTCATTTTCTCAATTGCATACTATCAGTCACGTACAAAACTGATGAAGATAGATATGGCTCATTAATATTTACACATCGTTTTACAATAATAAACAAATTGTCAAACAATCTGAACATTTTGTTGAAAAACGATTAGTCAACTTCTTATATGAATGATGAACTTGTCTTAATTTATCTAAAAATATTCAACGAATAAAAATTAGAGAGAAAAGATAATTTGATTTTTTTGTATTGGTGGAATATTGTAATAACAATCGATTCGTGCAACCTATATAAATATCTGATTTTTTAGTGAACAATATCAGTTGCATATGTATTCATCTTTGAAAATCAATTATCTTATCGTAAGTATACTTGAATAAGGTTAGTCGTCGAACAGGTTCACATTTGTTTGCTGATGATTTTAATTAATCTAAATAAAGCAAGCATTTGCGTACCTGCACGGCATTAGCCAATAATCGACGATAATATACAAAATTCAAAGTAGGAACGAAATATCTCGACTCGAATGATTTTCAAGAAATAGGCTCATTACCTGTAAGCTGAACGATTTATATCTATGTATATTCAGTTGCCAGGTTTTTGGCCCGCTTGCGAGAATCGATACACATCGATGATATCTACTAATCTTTCTAATATATTAGCATTAAATTTAGTGTTCATCAAATATTTCTTAATAAATAATTTCATTCATGGAGATTCATATATATTTTAAAAAAAAACGGAAACAAAAGCAAGATAATAGAAATGAAATAAATAAATGAGTATGACTTTTCTCTCACTCCATGATCTAGACGAGAAGTTATTATAAATAAATCCTGTGGAATGAAAAAAAACAAAAAGAAAAAAAACGGAGCATATCAATGCAAAATAAAGAATGAAGATGGCTGGACTATAACACTTGAAAAATTCACTTTCACTTCTCGTACGGTCCTGAGAGAGAGAAATATCAGATCGACTCCAAACAGAAGAATGAACAAATAAGAAAAAGAAAGAGTTGAATAACAATGAATAGTAATAGAATAACAATGTTTATATAAATATAGAAGTGCTCAAATCGTATCACAAGATGATTTTTAAACTTGTTCTTTGGTATTTATGCTGTCGTCGGTGACGTTGTTAGTGTGTGATTCAACAACGACTTCTCCTGATCGTTGTAATGGTACAATGATCTCCGGCTCACTTTTCGCTAAAAATAAAAAAAAATAGAAATTAATAAGAATATTTCATCAAAATAAATTTTATGTCTGTCATTTATAAAGCAATAGAAAAAAGAACACAAACGTTTTTCATTTTGTTTTAATTTAAAATCCTATATTATTGCAAATAAGATATTTTCTTATAGTTTTACTTTAATTCTCTCATTCTTACTTGTCGTCTCCAGAAGAATAATTCGACAACAACAATGATAGCCACACATGAGATTAATGCCACAAAAATATAAACTAATTTAAGTGATTGATGAGCACTGTGACCTTTTTGAAGAATATTATTAACACGTTTTAAATTATTCAATGTTGCGTCATTGAGTGTGATAGTCTAAAATAATTAAATAGAGAAATTAATCATTGACATATTTTATTTACTTGATCAATCCACATCATTGGAATAAAACGACGAATAGCACGAGTTTTAGTTGGTCTAAAATAATTAAGAATTTTTTCATTAAAAGTTTTTTTCTTTGTCATAAAATCATTACTCGGTTGCACCATGTTCATCAACTTTAATACGATCAATCCAAGCATTAGCATTCAATTGAATACGTAATTGAGCTTTAAGTGGTGTACCAGAGATTGGTTCAAAATAAATTGTTGATTCATGTTTATCAAAATCAGGTGTAAATGCAACATTAGTTGATGATGAATTATGACCATACATATGTGGTTTTGTTAGAAAAACAGTTTCTTCAGGAATTTCAGCTAAGAAAAAAAAGTTTTTTTTATCATTATTTATAAAATCAAAATAAGAGACAATCATGATATAAATTGGCTTGAGAGAAAACAGATGTGAACAAATAGTTTACATACGGTAGTTACAAAGTAAATACAGTCGTCTGTTTCATATCTCTATTCAACGTCAATCGATAATTAAAGTTTATGTAAGAGGAATAAACTCATTGTCTTATTTCAAAATACTAGCTATTACATACCAGATAGACATTTGGTAATATCAAGTTTATCAGCTTCTGGACAATTTTCATCCATTTCGGGGCATTTTTCGAAATCAACTAATTTAAGAACATATTCATGTACTTCATCAATACCAAACATAGATACTGTGCGATTATATCGAAGTTGTACTGGCCTATAAAGATAGTTAAATTAATAATCTTGTATTTTAGTTTTAGTATTCCTCTTACCGGCAAAAATCTGGTTGAAATACATTAATTGCTTTTCGATTTGGTGGATTACCAAGAGTTGGAAAGGTTAAACTATCTGAAAACAAAAAGAAGATAGAACTTATTTTAAAATAAATATACAAACCAAAAAATTCTGTTCCCCATTCTGCAGCTTTTGTTTTATATGGTGTGCTTAAAAGAAAATCAAAATAAATTAATTTATACATTTTCTCTTTTTCAAATAATTCTTACTATTCTGATTCAAAATCAATGACTTGACCTTTTCTTGATGAATCATCAATACCAGTATTTATTGTGTAATTAAATCCATTAGTTCCATTATACTAAATTTAAAATAAAGAAATTCTATACTAATTCTTAGATTATTTTGTATTTACTCGATAAATAAATCCGTATTTATCTTTATTTGGTCCTTGCATTCTTGATGATATAGCTGCAAATATCGGTGCAATATATCCTTCTAATTTATCAACAGCTCGTGAGTAATTAAAAGCATTATTTCCACCAAGCATATAAAAAACTGGATCAGCAACACGTTCAAATTTTGTTCGAAACATCTACAAAAAAATATTTATAATATAAAAATAAATTTTTTATCAACATACCACACGAAGAATGTCAAGAAAAGCACCTTCTTGATTAAGTATTGTTTCATTAAATTCTCCATCACGTGTAAAAAAACGTTCAACGGAATAATGAATTTTTTTGTTATCGTCTAACCACTCAACATTATTCTTTTTTATGGAAACTCTAAATAAAAAATGAAAGGTTTTTGACATTTTTTGTCGCTTTAAGAATATTAAACATACCGGTAATTCATTGGTATTGTTTCACGAATTTCTAATTGTGGATCACTTTTGTTAGTCATTATATCCATATAATTTGTTACATCAAATAAACGATATCCACGTACAGTTTTAACTGGTGGATTCGACCAAACTTCAAGGCCATCCGATAATGGTTGAAGACGTGTTTTCTATTGAATGAATAAATATATATTTTATTTTGTTCAAGCATTAGAAAAATACTTACTGAAAGAACTTTACCATGAATAAAAGTTTTCGCATCAGGCCATGTTAATAAGAAAATGAATAATGGTACGAAAACTAAGAGTACTAATAATATCTCACAAGTAATACGAACTGGTAATGAGCATATAGCTAATTTTCTTCTTCTTCTTTCTGGTATAGATACTTCTTTCATTTGCATAGTTCTGAAAGATTAAATTCATTTATTTGATGGAAATTTTTCGATAAAAATTTAAAACGTACTTTATTATTGGTGTTGGTGATAATTGTTGCATTATCTAGAGGAAAAAAGAAAGAAAATGAATGTATTCGATTTGCTATGAGTAATAAAAACGCCTCTGGTTGTAGAGAACAATCAACGTATACAAATGCGTAAGAGGGTTGCGTGGTTGCAGTCATACGCAAACAAACTTTTTTTACTTTTATAATGACTTTAACAATCAATGAGTATACACATCTTCCTCTCTTTTTTCCTTCGTTTCTTCCTTTCTACTGTCTATTAAATTGTATGAAAGTATTAGTACAGTACAATATATTTATTTTAACAATATTTTTGCACAGTTAGCAAAAGAAAACTACTTACTTGTGACTAGTAAACGATGGAAAAGAATAATAAAGACAGATGTAAATAATTGCAGCTTATTCTTAAACACAAGGATGATGATAACAATGAAAGAAAATGGAGAAAGAAAGGGGGAGTGAAAATACGTACAAAAACAGAGCATATATAGTCGTTTCGGCTGACGAGAAACAAAAGAGAGTGAATGTTGTTTTCTTCTAACCATGCTGCGCACATTACAACGTGCGGCTATGCGTGCAGCTGCCATATGGAATGCGATTTTTTTCTCTTCATTACATTATTTGAATATAATGGACATTCATAACTTTTTTTCTTTTAAACAAATTGACATATTAATCAAAAATATGGCTCACAAAAAAAAGAATATTTACTTAGACTAGTGAATTAAAGACAAAAATAATCCGTATAACTGATATACCTATTTCTTTTATTCGATGTTTTGTCTTACTAGTATGTTTTTTCTTTTCTTTCTTTAAATACATCATTCATTCGTTCATTCACACACACGCATATACATCTATCAATTAATTTGAGTAGTATGAATAGTATGATTGACATTTTTATTTTTACATGAATAATACTAGATTTATTTATTTGATATCAGAACGAAAAAAATAAATTTTCACATTTGACATTAAATGTCCGCTTGTATTTATAATGAAAGATGGCACTATGTTACACAAAATTATAGGATATACATCAACAACGTCAAAGAATGAACTTTACAGGTACTCATAAATTATTTCATTTTTAAAAGAATACCTAGAATTACATCTATTTCTTAAATAAACATTGTGATTATACCAAAAGAATTTGAATTCGTTATTTTTTTATAAAAACAGATCTTTTTTTTTTTGATTTACTGAAAAAAATGTTGAATCAGGAATGATAGATATGATAGCATTATTGAAATATTTTATACAATCTAATGCGTATTATTGTTTTTATCAATTGTTTGTAATAAAATTTCTTAGAAAAAACAAGATGTACGCAAAACAGCAAAAAATTTAGAATACATAACTTTTGTTTGATTCTGGTTAGTGGGAGGAAGGGAATGTTTGTTTGTATTTTGAGCAATATTATATTCTTCCATACCGTAAATCCATGTACAAAATAATTTCAAAAGTTGTTTGGCGCTTTGTCTATTAATTATAATCATTACACCACATATTTTTCTATGCATGTTAAATATATTTAAATCGGAAGAATCCATTTTTGACCCTAATGACGCCATCGTACTTTTTTCTATTGTTGTTTTCTTTTTCATTCGGTGAAAAATATATTTTAAAACAATTAGACTTCGTCTAGTCAATGCAAACATAAACTAAATTTCGTACAAAATTTTCATTTTTTTTTATTTTTATCTATATATCACATAAACAAATATATGAATTCTATTCGAGTAAAACAAAATATAAAAAAAAGAGTTTGTTCATAAAACAGGAAATCCTCTCAAAAACATATATGTATATATATATAATAATTACGTTGCTGCGGCATATTTTAATGAATATTCACGTGCCATTGTTTCAAAACGTTCTCTATCAGTTTTATATAAATGAGCTCGAGTTAAATCGCATTCATTTGAATCAACATCTGGAATAGCAAGACGAGCCCAAATGTGTTCTAAAATATTTTTAATTGTCATAGATGGTAACCAAGTATCTGGTTTCAATAATTCTGACATAAAATTACCATATTCATCAACATTCGGATGCATTATAGCCCGTTTGAATATTACTGATTTTGGTGGATTGAACTAAACAAAACAAAAATGTAATATTACACGTTTCAAAGAAAAATACTATTTGATAACTTACCGGATATTGTTCAGAAAATTTAATAGAAAGTAAAAATATTCCATTTTCATAGGTTGTTGATGATGGTCCCGAAATAACTGCTTCAATTACGAAGAAATCATCATCAATCGGATCAGCAAAAACAATTGGTGAATCTTTGGAATTTGTTTTAATTTCGTCAATATCACGTTGAATACATTTGATAGCAATGGTATTCATTATAATATATAATATAGTTTAAGTCTATTGATTATTTGTATACAAGAATAGAATGAAAATGGCGTATGATAAGATATTTAAAGGGTGCATGTATTTTGGTTTTTTCCAACTTCGTTCGAGTGAGGAAAATGACATAGAAATATGTTGGTTTTCTCCCAGATTTAAAGTTTTATTTGAAGTGTTGACAACATTAATCATTCTGTGGTATGATACATTTTTTAATGTACAGAAGGACTTCGTCATACTATTTTAATCCTATTATCGATTAAAATAAATAAAAATCTTTAACTTTATTTATAATGACTCATGTCTGAAATGCGATTGGTAGACATGTTTCTGCCACTTATTCAACATGCAACGTCTTCCATATGGTACTTTTGGAATGAACAAAAAAAATACCGAATAAAGGAAGCAATATAATATTTAAGATATGCTTGATTTGCACCCAAAAGACGATAAGCATCTTCAATTAGTTGAGTATGATTATACATAAAAAAATACACTTTTATTCCAGTAATAAGAGAACAATTTCTAGTAACTTATTTACGTTAATTGTTAGTAAATAACATATTAGTTTATATTCTGATAGTTTAAAAGAACTAGCTGAAATTGAGAAGTATTCGAAAGAAGCAGATCGTCATAGTTGCGTTTAAATCGGATAACATTACTAATTTATACCAGAGATCGAAATCGGATCGTATCTGGGTGGACTTTTTTTATTCACTTTGGTCTCTGAGAAAAGAGACACTTAAATCAGCCTCTTTTTGCTAAATAAATGAGTCACCTGAACAGAGAAAATTTTCTTCTTCTCAATAAATCAAAACTTTTTGATTGAAGATATTTAGCAAGTGATTCACAAAGTGATGGTGAAAATGAGTACATCTATGTACGATCATTCAGAATTAAAATATCAACAAATGACTTTTTGTCTAACTTATTCTAGTCGTACATGAATACTAATGACTTGTATAATCGCTCAATTATTCCTGAAGCATTGTTTGTTGATTAATAAAGTGAAGTATATTTTTTTGGAATTGTTCATCAAAATGTGTAAATACCTTTCACAGAATATTCGCAATTATACTAACATATTTAATTAAAATACTAAAAACCATATTGCGGGTGTGGGTGTCCGATGAATATTATAATCATATCCACACCCACTCAAACCTACGCTCTCGCACACATCGCCCTCACCTACACCCACTCTCATATTCACACCATGCTTTCGGCGAAATGCAGAGACGTGGCAGGTTTACATTTTTCTCTTTCTTGCTTTTATCTCACAGTATCGCGTTGCATAAAAAGTAATATTTATTGCGTTCGGCACGGAGAAAGATGAGTCTTACTTTTATCAACAACATCAGATATCTTCTGATTCGTTGCACTTTCACATTGCTGTTTCAATCCTTACGGCTTTTTCCAGATTCGCAGTTGACATATCCTTTGATCTGTTGCTGAAAAAAAGTTTTATTATTCTAGCATAATTTGTTCGTGACGACACACTGCAAAACGAACACTACCAGTGTCTCTTTCACACCATTAATCATCTACCATTTTCTATTGACGTGGTAAGCTTTAACTATGTTTGCTATGCTCAGTGTTGTTTAAATTTTTCCGAGGAACATGTCGATGAAAATGTTTATTGTGTCTTCTGCTTGATAACTCTAAGCTGATAAGTGACAAAACTTACCGAGTTACTTATCATTTTTTAGTCATTACTTCTTGTCAGCGGATTTGAATGATGAAAGACTTAAATTTTGTTAAATATCAGAGTGCGGTGAGGAGGTGGGTGGGGGTCCGAGCTGAAATACCGATCTTCTGTGCCGCCTGCATCTATTAGCTGCGATGCAGATAGGACGCTTGCGATGGGCTTTTATCTTGTCTTTAGTAACATAAAAAACAACTAATGTAAAGCAAACGCAGAAAAGAAAAGATCGAGTGAAGTTCTTCCATATGCAAATATACAACGAGAGCAACACTCAGATCAAAGCAAAGAGAATCAAAGAAAAAAACACCGTCTCTATTTCTCTTCTTATACACCGAGATATGCGCACACTGCAGGCGAAATTGTTATCTCGATGTATATGGTCGCGTATGAGTCCTCTTGCTGCTTTTCATAAGGAATAGGTGAATTTTTCGGCCGTAATCTCTATGCTACTAAAGAGTCTGAGAAAAAATGTTTTATCCTAGTTTACTTTGTTCTAAAACATCGAACTCCTTATAATACCTTTTGTCCATTTAGTCTCTTTAATACTTTGCGTATCTAAAGTCTAGAGTCTATTGACTTGTGTCAATCATGCACCAAAGGTTTTCGCATTTACATTCTTTTTTTTTATTCTCACCCTGTTAAAATCTGTGAACAGATTTATTCAATTTCTTGAATAGAAAGAATGATTTTAGGCATAAAACCAAAACCCCATAGAAAGTTTTCGCGGACTCATGGTGCCACTAATACTAGTGGATGACAGCGCAATCATAGATTCTCTTTCTCGTAGAGAAGAGTCTATCAAACACAAGTTGTTTGTTTGCTTGTATGTCCGCAGTTCATGGATTCGTCGACAACGGATTCGACAGCAAAACGATATGAAAAGTTGAGGCGTGACTCCATTTGATTAGGATGGATGAGAGTAAAGAAATGTTTCTGTTCTCTATTAACACTCTCACTCATCGCCACAACTAAATGCTTTTTGACTCACCCTTACTCAAGCCTGGATGTTTTCTCATTACCCATATTAGGAGTTTTCTCAACACTGCGCACTCAAGGTAGGAAAATGTGTCATCCTTTAACTTTTTTCCTCATTGCCTTCATATTCTACTGCATACATGTTTTTATTTTTAGTTGATCGTCGCAAATAAAGCTCTCTCTATTCTGCTGGTAAAAATGAGTAAATGTGATAACTTCAAAATAGGCCAAGAATTCCTCACTGCTCAAAATTGGCCCGTTACACTGCGCAATACAACTCATGATCGATGTTATTGTAATCAATGTTATGCCCCATCCAGTGACAACACTTATTTCGTCGGCGGCTACACTTATGTCGTCCCACGTGAATGGACTCGATTTGGTATACATATCGATGAGCCGTTTGCAAAACACCACAATGTATGGATGTTATGGGCCAACTGTTACCATGGAACAAGTATTGAGTGTGCTAAATCAATCGTTGAACATCGCCAGATGCTCCTACCTCGTGACATAACATTAGATGGTAAGAAGCTAGAAATACGTGACGGTCATATTCCTGAAGAATATTACATTTTTACTACTCCAACCATTAAGTACGCTGCTCTTGAGTGCTATGCTCATACATATAACTTCACATCTCCAACAACCAACAAATGTTACAAGATCAAAGTGGCACTACAGTGTAAACAAAAACAGGATTCATTTATCGTCCAACCTGAAACTGTAGGCGCACGAAAGCGGCGAGAAACAATATGTCCGCATATATCCAACGATTATATAGAATGGAAGACACAGCAGCGCGCATCTATTATGGCATACGGACTGATGCTTCACATTATGTGCAATAATGACAATACTGCTTATAAGAAGCCCGAGACAACGAAAGGTCCACAAGAGATCAAGTGTCCTCATTGTAGTCGAACAAATGTTTTTAAAACCAGCGGTTACCGTGAAGGATCAACTGTTAACTGTGCATATGAAAATTGCAAGAAAAATTTTCAACAAGTTTGTTGTCCCAATTGCTCTAAATGGATTCCGTTGCAAAATGCAAATTATAACGAAGGACTTACTACCACCTGTCCATATGAAGGCTGTAAGAAAAAGTTTCAAAAGGTTAGTTGTCCACACTGTTTTGGTTTTAATGTGTGGAAAAACGCCGGTTATAAACAAGGAACAGTTTGCACTTGTGTATATGAAACTTGTAAGAAGACATTTCAACAGGTCAATTGCCCACACTGTTCTGGTTCTCTGCTTTGGAAAAATGCTGACTATAAACAAGGAACAGTTTGTACTTGTGGTTATGAAACTTGTAAGAAAATATTTCAGCAGGCGAATTGTCCTCATTGCTCTGGTTCTCTGCTTTGGAAAAATGCTGACTATAAACAAGGAACAGTTTGTACTTGTAGTTATGAAACTTGTAAGAAAATATTTCAGCAGGCGAATTGTCCTCATTGCTCTGGTTATTTTATGTGGAAGGACGCAAATTATACGCTTGGATCTATGACAACTTGCCCGTATGAAATTTGTAAAAAAACATTTCGTATAGACTAATCAATAATAAGACACAATTTTTTCAAATTACCTAAACTCGTACTATAACGTTTGATTTTAAAAAGTTATTAATTGATGAGATTTAAAATAAACTTGAAGTAAATGTTGTAAAGCTATGTTATTGAGAATGTGGATGTGTATGACAAACTACCACGACATATGTTTCGGCCTTATTAAAGGACCTTATCAAATGGCTAAAATTCAATATGAATTTCAAAGAAATCCAAATTCAAACAAGTTTTTTGATGATGTCTAGAGATAGTAGAAACTGTTTCGTTAGCTGTTTGGAGTTGTCTTAGTCTGCACTCTATATTATCAAAGAGAGTAAAAAATGGTTACTGATGGTAGATCATCTGTGAATAATAAGTAGTATATTAAAGAGCAATTTGATGAATATGAGACAAAGAGAAAGGAACTGTCGTCGTTGATATGCAGAAATAAGTCAGTACAAAGGATTTTGATATATTAATATAGTTATTTTATGTTAGTCTACGAGTTTATTATGTTATAGGAATTGCATTGTAAGTCGTTGGTTTTTCATTTGATACTTTGCTTCTTTATAAATGTGAATGATGTGGTGATAAACGGAATTGATTAATGAGTTGAATATTTGTAAGTCCGCGATGTATTTACTTTTAGGACTTCTGTTCTGTAAGAGTGATTGTTTAGGCCGTCTGCATATAAGTTCGTTTTGAGCATCACGACGATTTCTATTTCCAATAATTAATTTGATATCTTTGTCTAGTTATCTATTAAATATATCATCTAGTATGGGTGTGGGTGTGGGTGTGGATTTGAATATTATATCCATCACATACCCACACCCACGCACTGAATCAAACAACTATACATTAAAGATTATTGTATTTGAATAGAAATAGAAACTTCAATGGCAAAACATTATCATATGTATGGAATTAGTATTGCACTTGTTGACGCAGAAATTAATGTAACTGATGACGATCTTGAAAAGATCAATGAAGAACGACAAAAACAAATGCTTAATCATCTAAAAAATGATGATAATGGTTGATTTTATTTAAATGAAGTTATTACGGTAACATGTTTAGTTACGCTAACTCCAGATGTTGAACATACTCGTTGTACATTTCTTGGTGTTAATGTTACACAATCAGAACATGGTATTGTATCAGATTATGTTTATTTCGAAGCTTATATGGTTATGTCTCTACCTACTCTTGCTGCTGCTATTCGTATACATGAAATAGCTGAACTTAATCAAGTAAAGAGAGTAATGAGCTGTTCTAATGCTGGTATCATCCCGACTTATTGTGATCATTTATGTGAAATATTAAATAAATTACTTGATTTTTTATTTTGTAATTGAAATGAAGCGTTTAGTTGATCTCAAACAGATAACATGGTCGCATAGAGTACTTTGTAATAGGTTGATTAGCTTTATTTAAATATATTTTGAAGTTAAGATTGAGAATGTGTAATACATCTACAACGTCAAGATCTATAAAAGTGTCTTCCTTTAAATAATTCTTTCAAAATCTTCATAGTGTCCTGCATGTGCTAAACATACTCGAACATTTTTATGTTCATCTTTGTATAATTTGACCATTGCAGCTATTTTCTTCAAAGTTTCCTTTGCCGCATCTTTATCACTGTGCATGTAGTAACTCATTCGACCTTCATATTCTTGCAGATGAGTTGTACTATGTGCCGAATCACCAGCTAAGAGTAAGTAAGTATTTTCACCGGTTTTTGCCAATGCCAACTGATGTCCTGGCATATGACCGGGTGCATCAATTAATAGGAGACTTTTATCACCAAAATAATCGTGAACTTTTTCAAATGGACCAAGTGTCAAAGTATAATCTTTATCAGTTAGTTCTTGTGTTCGACCTTCAGGAAATGTAGATTCAAGAAAACGTGATTCATGATTAATTGGATATGCTGGACGAGCATATGCTTGTGTACCTTGTCCAAAGAGACAGGTCGCATTTTGAAAATGTGGTAAACTTGGATTACCACAATGATCAAAGTGTGGATGTGAGTAGATAATTGTTTTAATTTGACTTGATGAAATGTTATGTCTTTTAAGTGCATCACCAACATCTTCTTTAACTTGTGGTTTAAATACACGAGGAAAGTCTTCTTTTATTTTTGGTGGGTATTCATCGAGTTCTTTCATAAGTCCAAGATCGAAGAGTATGTGTGTTTGTGTGACTGGATGATAGATATAAAATGACCAGACAGGACATGGTGTTGATTCATTTTCGTCTCCATCGTTGAAAAGCATATGATTACGCAGAAAACATTGACCTGTGTAAATTGCATGGACTTGAACCGTAGGTGTAGACGACATTTTTTAATTAAATCTAGAAAAGTATATAAAAATGGTACTTTTTAAAAATTTTCATAATATGATATATCTTTATTTCTACCTATGTGTATAATAAGATACTTTGTCGCTTCACCTTTTTATGCATGAATGCTTTTCATATTTTTTTTCTATGTTCGGAGTGGACAAACATTTCAAATGAACTTCTCTTACATTTTTTTTCGTTGACCTAGATGTATATGTGTTTAACACGTGTATATTTTATTCGTTCTCCTTGATTCTCATGATGTCCACTGCACGAAAGATATTGAAAGATTTATATTTTTCGAAAAAGACCGATGTCCCACGTACATGCAGATTCTTTTCTTGAAGGAAATTTAGTTAGTCTTGTCTTTGGGTATCTAAAAGGATCAATTTATCCCAAACATTATTAAATAATATAAGAAAAGACAAATTAATGAGAGAATATAAAAATAGAAATTATAAAGAAAACTCTGTGTGATTCAAATGAACTGTCATTCTTATAATAATCAATTATTAATTACAATTCAATGCATTGATCAAAATAGTTTAGTCAGATAATATCAACAAGAAATATATATGTTGAAACAATACATCGTAGTCGATGTGTAATCAATTGATCGATTTAAACACTGATGAGCGTGGGTGTAAGTTAAGAGTAGAAATACTCACATCCACACATATTTGATAATACTCTTATTTGACGAAAAACTGTTTTTATTACTTTTTCCAATATCAGTATTTACTGTTTGATTAGTATTGGTTGTGAAGTGGGACTTTTTCTTATGATTCATTAACTACGTGTATATTGAAAACAGGTG